CTCGTCCTGATCCTCTGGCGATTGCAGGCACCTCTTCGTGGTGTCAGAGACTAGTATTGGGGGGAGTCCTCGAAGAAGCCAAGACCTGCTCCAAAATCAATAGAATCAAGAATCATCCAGTATACTTTGTGTCCTGCCTTTCAGCCTGTTTGTAGATTTCAATAGCCATGTTACTGGTTCGCGTCAAGTTGTTCTGGAGCCTTGAATCACGCCCTGTCTTTCGACAATGGGCCTTTCTTCAACGTAGTGCGAAGTAAGAGCACTGAGTCATCGGGCCAGTGGGGATCTCAGTGTATGATAGCTTAGTGGCCGATCTGGGCGACGCACGCAATCCAAAGTAGTCTCCATTTGTGCGAATGCTTGTCTTTGCTGGCTACCAGTGGTAGCAAAGGTTGTCTCGACGTGGTGAGATGCGGGTTGTCGACACTGAGTGGGAAGTGTTGGCGTGCTGATGAAGGCGTGCTGATGAAGGCGTGTTGATGTTGAGGACACATTGATGGTGAGGACGCGTTGATGGCGAGGGCTGGAGATGAGGGCCGGAGATGAGTGACGGTTGAGGATTGGTAATGATCATGATCGATGGGAACCAGTGAGTCAACATGTTGATTTGCGGCGCGGCGTAACTGCCGAGCGGTGAGGTGGCTGCCAACGGTGACTACCCATCGCCCTTACAGTTGGATCTTCGTTGGCTCACCAATGATGTACATAATAGATGATAGACGGTGAAACATGATGCAGTTCATTAACTGGAATCTGTCATTACACCAGATCGCAATGTAATTATCTGCGGATAGCTTTTCAGAAAAACTCGACTATGGGCTTGGAGGCGCGTGGTGCAATCAACATTGGTGACCACTTCAAAAATATGTTAAAGGGTACATTATGTACATCTATTGACGATAGACTGAATCATTATTTCACTCGGGTCGCTCTTCTACGTGGCTTGAGCTTCGTCGCATACTCTTTGGCGATACACTAATATTCGAAAACAAGTTCCCCTGCGGCGACTCGGGCTTTCTCTCACAGAAAGTAATTAAAACGATTTTTACAATGGAATGATCTAGCCATAAACTATCCTAGCAATGATTGGCTATCATCTCGAAGGTATATCCTATTCCGGTTTAGCTTAGTAACAGGTAAAACCCGAGAAACAACATGTGTGTGTCCAGAGGGGAAACTGTTTTTCGAATTTCTCTGTACACAGCTCTTGGGTAATGTCGATAAATGGTCATCCAATATTGCGCAATATATATCCTCAGCCGCGCACGTACATGGTAGCAGTAGAATTGGAAAAACCATCAGACTGTCAGCGATTCAGGGGTGTTCTGGCCCTCTTTTCGAATATCATATTCCATTATATGGCCAAATGAGAGACTGCTGTGGAGCTCGAAGGGGTAATGTAGCTGAGTACTGGTCGAGACTAATGGTGGCTATGATATTCTAAGAAGTTGCTGGATATAGTGAGGCAAACCTCGCGACGCCAGCGCATCTGCTCGCGTGGTCTAGTCGAATATGCCACGTTAGCTTCCTTAACGAACCGGGTTCGATTCCCGCAGGGCGCATCTGGATGACAATTCATCAGAAAGACGATTCTCGCTCATGCATCGTGTATACAACCCGCTGGTTTCCGGTTCGTCTCGCGTGTTTTTTTCTTTTTTCTCTTGGGACTCGTGATATGAAACGCTCTCTGGAATACCGACCTAAGGCAGCACCCGGCGGTGGCGACAAGGCCGTGCACTGACGCGTCGCAGCGTCTCGCGTCGGGCACAAGTGACAGACCCACAATGGCAGAACATCACAGCTACGTCAGCTACGTCCGAGGTCAATAAGTACGACTTTTCTACCAGTTATCTCAAACCCACCTGGCATCCTTCGAGTAATAATTGAGCAATTGCATCCGCTGCGGCAATCGAACGGCCGTAATTCACGACCGTAATTCACGACGCTCGTCCGCTGGTGAATTCGTGCCGTTCGGGATGACATCATGGGGAGAGCATTCGACTGGCTTGCAGCCACCTTTGGGAGGGAAAAATTGTCTTCATATCAGCGGTTTGGCAAAAAGGTCAGTTATCCCCAACCTCCAGTCTTGAAAACGTACTCTTTCCCTTATTCAAGATATAGGCCACGGGGGATGCTTTGAATACCATCTGCATTGACCACAGACAAACAGATTGCCGTTGGTGATACTCGATCTAGCACCAATTGTCAGCAACTGGCGCAAGATGGGTGTTCGCAACTGGCCGCCACTGACCGTGCTCGTGGCCTAGAGAGAATCCCAATACTAGCCGCAATACACTATCTCGATCGGACTTGTAGGAACAGCCGAAGCAGTGCTACGTTTCACTACTTCTCCATATCAGCAAGTCTTCTGGTGGCTAAGGGTGGTACAGACTTGCCGTTGATGTAGTTTGGGATCAGCGAAAGCCAACCAGAGATGTAGCGGGCTCAGTTCGATTACATCTGGAGGGCCCAGGATCACTCCGTATCGCTGCAAATGAATGTTGGCAAGTTCTGCCAATGCATAGCTGTTTCGTCTTTGGTTTTCGTGTGGGAGGTAAATCTTCAGACCTGTCAGGACAATGTTCCACTGAAGGAGAGGATCATGGGTTTTGGGTTGAATGAAGTAGTAGCTGACCTGAAAGCGTCTGTTCTCATGGGGAGAGACATGGGATAGATCCACTGCCGCGACCTGGCTTGTCGGTTGCTGAGCTGCAATCAGGGCTTGGTAGAGCCGGCCCTCAGCCTGTGGCCTAAAGCCCGATTCATTGCTGGATTATGTTATACCTGGAGAGACCATGATCTTTTTCGGTGGCCGTCGATGCTGGACTTCTCTTCGATGTCGTCGATTGCTGCGATGGCTCACTCAGCCTAGCATGGAACCGGGCTATGGCTGCCGACGAGGCTCCGAATCGGAGGTCGGCAAGAGATTAAAAGCTGTCGGAATATGAAAAAGTTCTTAATAAACTGATAAATGGCCCTCAATCGGAAAGGGTAATGTCGACGAGACGAAAACACCTTGGAGACTTACCGTATGACTAAGCAGATGCGCCAGGCGAGTTGGCCTTTTAACCACGACTTCAGAAACAACAAAGCCGCAGGCGTAGTATAACTGATGGCTTGGCCCATCAGTTGTTCAAGCTGGTCTAGTTTGAAGACGAGGGAGGGGGATATATCTCTGTCAGGTCGGCCGTAGTATTGACATGCGTCCTATGAAGAAGAAGAACAATCAGTTAATTTCTGAAGAACAAAGAGCCACCAACGGATAGCATTCGTACGGAGATGAAAAGTAGTACTGACTGTTGGGAATGGGCAGGGGCAAAGCAATAGCATGACTTACAAGACATCAAGTGACCCGCGATAGAAAGTTTGCCAACCTATATAGAGGGTTGTCAGCACATGACATCTGCTTTGAAATTTGCTGCAAAGTTCGAAACTTACGTTCTCGGATAATGTTGTCCGTTGCAGGAGACTGTATAAAAGATGGCATCTATTTATCATCAATCATCAGTAGGTAGCTCAGGAAGGCAACTTGTAACTCACTGTGCTCGCAGCTTGGGCTATTCGGGATCCAGAAATGTTCGCTCAATGGGTTATTTGAGGAGTAGCGGAAACGGGGCTGATATCGAGCGTCTTCCGATTTAGCAACGCTCTAAATGACTGGGAAATGACACTCACTTGCTGTCTGAAGACTTCGTTATTGAGAAAGGCCAGGCCATTGCGATAAAAAAGGTCAGTTTATTTCATTGTATGATTTGGAGGTCAATCCATACCAAAGAGTAGCCGCGGAGACGAATCATGATCGACTTTCTTTGATCCAAATCACAAAGGAATGCTTGCGAACGGCGGTTCTGCTGGTGACGAGTCTGGTATTTATAGCATTTCGGCCAGGCATTCAGTCTGCGTGAATGAGATCATCATCATCAATTGTGAGGGCTTAAACACAAACTACTCTTAAATTGCAGCCAGTTAAACACATGGTTATTTATCTGACACACCATTTGAACACAACATTTCGAAGACATCGCATTTTTCCTGGCGACTCGATATATGCAATTCCTTTTATCACTGTTGGCACCGTTTAAACAGTGGTGAGCATGCCGCAGAAAAGCATCGATGACCCGTTTCAACATTTACCACCATGGGCTCGTACATTATTGCAACAGGTGAGGCGGCGACATATCACACCATTTCATTTCACCCACCAATATGAGCACGACACCCTACCCAATGAATACCTCATCAAAGACAGGCAAATACCATGCCATATTGCGGCCCTGGATCTCTACCAGCCAAACTGCAGGGTTATTCACTGCCTACCTCGTATATCGGAGAAAAGGGAAGCACACCTACACAATACCAAGCAGATGCAAGCTATAGTACAGCGCGGGACTGATTCACACAACCCCATTACAACAGAGTCCCTTGTATAGTGGGTCAGATATTAGGTCGATTACGTTTTCGTAGAACAAACCTCTGCGATCAGCCCCGTCTTTGCAAAGGCATTATCCACATCAATCTCCTGGGAACGAAGCGCATGGGGGGAAGTGGGTACTACAACAAGGAAATATAAGCCAATTAGTGCCATCAATGGCTCACATGCGTGCAAGTCGACTATGAAATGATTGGTGGATATTTGGCCATGGCTCCCAGGAGCCTGTGGGTCGTTTATATTGATGCGATCATTGGATACCGATAATAGATCGGAGGAAGAATGAGCCAATCGGTGCTATGAATGATCCACGTCTGCCACAAAGCCCCCGTAGAAATAATTGGCATAAATTTGGCTGTGAGCTCCTGGGAGCCTGAGCCTACCATAACACCTACCATAATTGGATAGGGCTGATACAATTATGTCCACAACGTACCCATGTCTCCTCTCCTTGAACCCGAGATAGGAACGGCATTACGCACTGGCCACTGCGATTTAGGTGTAGCCTTTGCGGGCATATTCAAAACACAAGAATTCTGAGTAGACTAGGCCAAAGTATACCATAATATTCATGGAAGAATCAATCGGAGTAAGACAAACAGCCGAAAAGGGTTTCTAACGAGGCCCCGGCTAGAACTGGTGGTTTAAAAAAAAGTACTGTATTTATTAAGAATGAAGTTGAAATGAGGTAGTACCTGGAATTCCTTTTCGCGCGCTCGGCAATCGCTACTGCAGCACGCGCAGCCAACCTCCCCTCGACAATCGATCTCGTCTGCACAACATACAAGTCTGAGAAAAGAGATGGGTCGCCGCCGGCTGTGCTGCAGGAGGAGTGTCTTCATGGACACCGACTTGGATTCAATGGCAAGCAGTGTATTCACCCGTCGCAGGTGAGTGTTGCGAACGATACATTTGGTCCACAGGAGGAGGAGACGACGTGGGCGGTGCGGTGTGCGATTGCTGATGATAAAGCTGCTGCCGCGGGCGCGGAGCTTGGACTCTGGATGGTAAGATGATTGATGTGCCTGTTGCGCAGAAGGCAAGGGCTATTGTTAGAAAGGCTGAGGCCGTCGGTGTCGATATTCAGGCATTCAATGGAAATAGTATTTACTGTCAATACACAAGGATATCTCACATGAGTGAGGGTAGTTTCAAGGTTCAATTGAGGCTATGTGAATTGTTCCTTGATACTATTCAATACTATCATTGCCTGATATAATATGTAACTTCTCGTTTTCCTTCTTATACCTCCAGGGCTTGAGTAATATCAAGGACGTGCTCGTTGAGAAACACAATATTCTATCAGGGTATATGACCAGGAGAGAAGAAACTGATTGGGGGAAAGTTGTCCAAGTAACCGATATCTTCAAAAGAATAGACATTGCTGGTTGGGAGCATAGCCATATGAAGAGTGTCTTCAGAATGACTGGCTGATCTTGGTTCGGTAAAGACATGGATGTTGCCACGATTGGTTCCCACCTGGAGGTAGTGGTTATTCGAAGTAAATTCGATTGACATCTCCGAATAAAATCACCGACGCTTGAATCTTGATGACAAAGATAAGATCACTCAGTTTTAGAGATGGCTCGGTTGATTTTCCACGTATAGAACATGATAAATCAGGACGAGGCGCATGTATTTATATGTTCTTCGCCCATGACCTCGCTTCGGGCCGGGTGTCGTCCATAACGTGCAATGGTATGGTAACGAGCTCTGTCATTCCCAGGACTCAATAAGTTCACAGCCAGGCCAGCGCCAATCATGTTTACCAAGGCTATATAGTGGGGCATGCATGGACCCGGTTGGCCCATTTTCATTGGCAAACCTGATCTAGCATTAATAGCATCCAATGATGCTATGATTTGGACGACCCACATGCTCCTGGGAACCATTGCCTGATATCGGCCAATAATTTAACTGAAGACTCGTGTATGTGTGTGTATTGTAATCCGTGGCACTATTTGAGTCATATCTGCTTATTGTAGTACTCCCTTTCTCGCATCCACTTCGTTCCCAGGAGATTGGTGTGGATATTGCATTGACAAGACGAGGATGACGGCAGACAATTGTGTCGAGTTCCGAAAGAGGAAGTTGACCACATTTTTTAACTCTGGTTAATGGTTCAGCGCGTGCTTAGATTCCATAATATTGTTTTCGCATGTAAAGTGGGCGTAAACACCCATACAAGCTACTAACACCGTGACAGGTATCGACTAGGCATGACTCAAATCATGCTGTCGTAATAATTTGGTCGTATTTTCCTAGTCACTGAAACAACCTGATCTTGCAATAATAGGGGCGGTAGAGCTGCTTGGGCCTCCGAGGGGACTTACGGCCTTCCCAGGATTGGAACAGATTGCTCTAGGATCTGGGATTGAGATCCTTGAAGCTTCAATGCTTGTTGCTGGTACTAGAACGCAAGCGGTACTAGAACGCAAGCGGTATCCCGTTGAGGGCGCAGGAATTGAATGCGGTTCCATACGACGATATAAATTTTGTAAGGTTAGTCCTTGCCAACGGGATGTGGTATAAATATAGCTGCGGCCTGCTCTTTTCTCACCATTTATCCTCAACCGCTCTTCTCACTCGACTCTGATTACTTCCACATCTCAGATAGCCTCACAAAACCTCTCAATGGTAAGTTACATTACATAGAATGGGATCAAGGGATTGCAGCACTGACTTTTCACTCAGTCCAGCATCATAAAATTACGTACTCGCTTTTTGAAAGCCCTCTCTCAAGAGAATGTCGAGAGCTTTTTGGATGTATTGAAATGCATGAATGCACATGTCGATATATCGGATTCTCAGGGTCGAACAATGCTGTGGTACTATGTAAAGACGCGGGACTATCAGAAAGCCGAATTCCTTATTAGGTGTGGCGCAGACCCTACTGTGGCGGACTATGAAAGGGTGGCGCCCATTCATGTTGCTTTAATGCAGGGTGACGCCATCGACAGAATCATAGCCAGGATGTTACTGCATTCTCGACCGACTGTGCCCGTATCTGAGATGCTTCAGAACGGCCCGAGTCTCGATGAACTTTTTTTCAAACCACGCCAATACTCCTGACAGCGCCAATACCATGAAGCTTCTTCTGGAGCTGGGTGCAGATGTCAATATTATCCTTAACGTGGACAACGAAACACCATTGATACAAGCAGTGCGCTACGGTGACCTCAAAGTCATCAACGTACTGCTAGAACACAGGAACATCAATCTCTACGCGAAAAATCGGTATGGGTACACGGCATTGCATGTTGCTACTTGTTACAATCAGCTAGGTGCAGTCAATTTGCTCCTATCCAGCGAACGCCTTGATGTAAATTGCAGGGACCACCAAGGCAACTCTGCCTTCTGGCTGTCTGTACACCTCGGGCGGGACGATATCAGCGAGCGTTTTCTCAATGACAGCAGAGTGGATATCAATTTCAGGGGTGGCACCAATCCGCGAAGGCAAACCACAGCTCTCTACATCGCCTGTTTTCGCACTGAGTGTCCGGATGGTTTCCTGTATTCTTTCATCGACACATTTACACAGAGTGAATCCAAATATCCAAGGAGATGGCAGACAAAGTCCTCTTGGAGCTGCTGCTTATCAAGGCGCCTATGAGGTAGTGGATATGCTGCTCAAGGCAGATGGTATTCGGCTCAACGCAAGTGACGAAAGGGAAGACGATCCTCTGTGGTTGGCAATCCAAACGCGTTCAATGTCGGTAGTTCCACTTTTCTTGAACGACAGCCGACTTGACATTAATTGCCAGAACAACCAAAAGGGAGATACTTATCTCATTGCCGCAGTTCGCAATGGCAATCTTCCCTTTGTGAACAGGCTATCGGATTTAAAGGCATTGAGCTTACGAGAAGGAATAAGGAGGCTAAAAGTGCGCTAGACGTCGCCCATCAATTGAATCACTCCCACATCATCCAAATGATGGCCGGTAGAGGGACTGAGTGTTGATAGGCCTCTCAATGAATGGAACTTGAGCAAATTTTGACCAGGGCTTCTCAACAAAGTCAGTACTGTAGGAATCATCAATGACCAAGCACTCTTTAAATCACCTATATAGCCATTTAATCAAGATCGTCTTGTCTTTCATTCCACCCATCCAGCCCTTTTCCAGGCCTCTTGAAAGTGTCGAAATCAAGCGCGTAAAAGTAGAGAAAGGGATGGATGGGATTTCAAATTATATCGATGTTTGTCACTAGGATAAAACAGAGAGCAGCAGCTACCTGATATAAACTTACGGTTTCGTCGGCAAGGGATATCCTAAGGCTCCAGTAGTCAAAAGCCTGGGAAACCAGACCAGAGCGTTTTCATTCCTCCGGAATAAAGGACCACACCAACACCAGATAATTACATGGACGGTCATTACACGGAGCCTCTCTAGAAGATGTTTAAGCTCTCTGCGTACAACATAGAAGGGGTCAATGCCTAGGAGTTCGGTAAAACACAGCAAGCTGTTGAGGGTCTCACGTATCTTTAGATGAAGATCGTGTCTTTCAAAAGAATAATTACTATTCAGAAGGCTCTAGCCGACTCTCAGATATAAGACGTAGCGCGAGAAAGCAAAAAAGAAGGATGCCTTCTCGCATTCAGGGAACTAGATGCGCCATGTGGGTCCCCGTTCTGCGTCAGCGTGTATGCCTTTTGTATATCCCTGACAGGGATTTCCAGGGTATCACGTTTCTCTCATAACGAGCTTTTCTTTCTTAGAAGCAATCAATACAAATATTGCCATGACTGGTTCAAGATATAAGGCCACGCGAGGTATCAAAGTATCGTCTTGCATTCAGAGGATCCCAGGTATGTTCCCTCTGGATCAAAGCCCATTGTCAGTCATGTGCATAATCTATATTCAAGATATCTCTGCTGAGCTCGGTAGTATGCTTCGATTCATCCAATGAAAGTAATTTTATTCAATTATAAACAAATTTAAACAAATTCCTCTGCACAATCAAATATATAGCCCGACCGCTGTCTTTGAAGGTCGTTTGAAAACATAAGTGCTTCTCAATCACGTTTAGAGTAGGAAGTCCGGTTGCTACCACATAAAAATTATCAGCATTGAAAACACTATGCTAGCCGAGACCAAATCTCGCATGGGCAGTATCAGATTCATTGTGGCGTAGTCGTATCTGAAAAACTTCATTGCTGCTGAAATCCTCGGTTCAGCTTCCAGTCACATAGTCTGATCGGTGACCTCAAGGCCTTTCTGACAACTCTAGTGGAAAAGGAGAAAGAGAAGGTCTTTCTATCTTGACCATCGCTTTCCAGGTATATTTTGTGACGCTCTTCCTGCTTATCCCAAACCTCTTTTATCCTCAGCATCAATAAGTTTCTGCCGCCCCAGGAGCTTATTGATGCTGGGCGTTGTGGAGAAACAACAGTCGCAATTGAACGATGGAAAAGAACTTGGAGAATCGCACTCCTTGGTACAGAGGATAGGTACCAAAAAGTGATTCATGAGGAGGGTCTCGATATTGAAGTACTATTCAAGGAATTCGGTCCAAGATTGGTAGAATTGGGCAAAAGTCCCTGGGATATTCAGGCGAACGCTTTGGCGAGGGCTCCTTTTTGAGGGATGGTGAGGGGATGTTGTGTTTGTTTAGTCTTGATGATTTCCTAGCCAAAAAGCGCTCGCGCATAGGTGGTGATACAGAGCACCTTCTAAATCTGCACTGAGTAAACCGCTGTATCCGCACCACACATACCTTTTTTCCATGGATTTCAAAGCAATTTAAACAAGCTAGTGACTTAGCTCAATACGCATCACGGTTTGGGGCATATATGGATTGAGATTTGATACCTTTTGTCAACTGATATGCTCTTTCTGAAGCGTGAGTCGTCTGCAATATTCGTGACATCAATAAAAAGTTTCTTGAGCTACTAAATTCCTGGCGCTACTTTCTAAGCGCATCAATGGGATCTGTCTTTCAGTGGTCAACACAATAAGCATCTTTTCTCACAGAGCCTTTTTTTTATACATCTAGCCGCTGATGATGCCATTTTTTCCGCTATATTGAATCAACGTGGCGGAATCAGATTGAGCTTCAGTACAGGCTTTCCACTCCCACTTCGAGGTACATTTTTACTCAAACCTTTCTAGATTTTCTCGATAAGTTCCAATACTACTGTACATAGCAGTCGGACTACACATCAAAAGGACTTCTTTCTGTCAAGTTCAGTCTTTTCTTCAAACCAGCCGCTTTCTCGGTCTCAAAATGGCGATTTGGTCCCCCTTTCTGACAATCCTAAGCCTCCAATTGATTGCTGAAGCGTCTAATGCTTCTTCCAATCTATCTAGTCTCGTGGGCAAGGCCGAAAATCCCCTTTCGTGAGCGCAACGCTGGTCTTTATGCCGCGGTATTGGGTGGTAATGGTATGATTTCCAATGGCTGGCCCAGCATTGACCAATGGCTTGGGTCCTTTGAATCTATGTTCGAGAATAATCAAGGTGTGATATCCGTCAGCTGCTCCCAATGGAGTCTCCCCAATAACTCGCAAGACGAGACCGATTCCATCAAGGATGCCATTCACCAAGTGGCGAAGTCGAGCGGCGTCGACGCCCGCTTCATTTTGTCAATCGTCATGCAAGAGAGTCAAGGGTGCGTTCGTGTTCAGACGACTGACAACGGTGTAATCAATCCGGGACTAATGCAAAGCCACGAGGGCTCTGGTTCATGAAATAAGGATGGAATCATTCAAAACCCTTGTCCCAAAAGCGAAATTCATCAAATGATCCTAGATGGTGTTGAGGGAACCCCAGCCGGGCCCGGCCTGAAGGCATTGATAGCTCAGGAGGGCGGTTCGACAGACGTGGCTTCATTTTACAAGGCCGCCCGGGCGTACAATTCTGGTACTGTTGCCTCTAGCGGTAACTTGGGTCAGGGGATTGCCACTCACTGCTACGCCTCGGACATTGCCAATCGCCTTTTGGGCTGGACCAATGGTCCTAGCCGGTGCGCTCCCAATATTATTGGCATGTTATCTGCTGCACATTGGGAGGGTAAGAGCGCCAGTGCGTGCGACGGGACGTCAACTACCACACCTTCTCGATTAGTTTCCCTGCCTCATGTATTCCCTTTTTCATCTCACCCAGAAGCAAGCTCGCTTCATTCACCGTATACTTCAGCTTTTGCCACCACAACTTCTGCGCTGATCTCTCTCAGCACGGCCCAATGTGCTTGTAGTAGGAGGCGACTTCAAGTGTAGGGACGTTAGCAGTATTTCATGCTATCCTTTACCTTTTTTCTTGTTGCGTCTGGTTTTAGATCTGTAGGCCAGTGGTCTCACTCAGAATTCAGTCTTTAAATACAGCATTGGATCTTTTAAATACAAGGATAATCCCATGAGCGCCTCGGGAATTGATATCTTGATTTTGTACAATAACTAAAGATGAGGACTCGACTATTCTCGATTCAGACTAAAGCTCGCCGACCCAAAAAGACGGAGCAGCCACACTCATTTGCTGTCTGAAGACTTAAGCATAAAAAATAGCACGCTAGTGCGACGAGAACGGTTACTTTGATCTTAAGCTAAGTGCAAGGCTTTGACGTCAGTCAATACCGAAGAGTAGCTATGAGAGATGAGAAGCGTCCAACATGGCTTAAATCGAAATGATGAAGGACGCTTGGGAACTATTGCTCCGCTGATAAGGAATTAAGAATTTTTACGAGTTAGCAGTCCTTTAGACAGCGCCTGTGTAATGGCTATCACGTCTCAACGTGCCCCCCCTCATTTTACGAGAGGCGGCATAAATGAGGCCATCTGATCTTCTTCTAATCACTAATCATTACTGACATTTTTTGGCTGATCAAAGTTGAAGGTGATTCACATGCTGCATTTGGTTCCGTCGTACATTGAGGCCAGGGTTTGTACGTTCAAGCAAGTGCTTGCGGATCTGCTTTTCTGATTGACAAACTTATGAATTAACTTCACCGAACAGCTTTTGATTGCAATACAGTGCAAACGATGTAGCTATTAATTGAAAATAGAGCACAATAGTGCTATTTCTGGTATCTGCGTTAGGTCGTTCGGAGCTGATATAAATAGCATTGAGAGTCTATCCAGATGCTGATCACCTCACCCCATTGCTCTTTCATTGTTCTGTTTGCCGACAATGCTCACTCCGGAAAAAAAAACGTGCATGTGGTGATATCGGCAAAGAAGGCAGCTTCGAACACCTAATCGATGAATACTCGGCCCTGCAACTTGGGGAACGGGCAGCAACTGAAGGCTCATTAGCCCCCGACAACGCTGATAGCGGCGAAGCCCAGCCATGGATAAGTTACGTCAGTGATCAGCAGCAGCAAGACATCGAAGAGGTTGACGATGTAGGAATTGAAGAATATGCGGAAGCGTGCATGGATACGTACCGAGCATTGATGAAGAAAGGGAAGCTCTCGTTTTCGGAAAATCAAATGCTTGGAGAGCTTCATAGTGTTCTGAGCGATTACTACCTAAGCGATCCCCAAAAGTTCGATGCACAGTTTAACACAGTCGACGGCCAGCTCCAGTCAGAAGATCAAGAAAAGACTGCGAGTACCCCAGCCATGCACTCTTGTCATAGTAGTCATTCTGGCCAAAGAGTCAGTGAGGACCCATGGCGTCAAGGTAGCCCTGAAGCTACCGGAGATCTTCAGACTTCGCCATTTCTTTCAGATGATATAGGCCGCGAGAGGCTTGTGGGGATGAGCGACTCCGAATTAGAAAGGGATGCCACGGAGAAGAATCATTCTGCCGATCCGTCTTCGATGGGAAAAGAGCTTGGTGCGGCGGGCTCATCTCGCCAACGTAGCAACCATTTAGAAGGTCGCACCGATAATGCTACTCCTGACAATGGGTCTCTAGTCAGCCTATGTCCAGTCAGCCATAGCGCATCAGAGTCGGCATCCAACCGAGCCACCACTAACAATGATCTAGTAGATGGGTGGGGAAGCTTACGCCGATCGACGTTCGTGATCATCCAATGTGGACCGCATCACGCAGCCAAGTATCGATTCGAGTACCGGTTGAATTATAAAAACGACTCTCTGGCTAGCATCTCGGATCGCACCAAGCGAATCTCTGCCCTGGAAGATATAGACAGCTCTGGTAATCCGATGTGGCGGTATACGTCCGAGAACGTAAAGGACGTGGTTGGGGTGGTTGCAGAAGCACGCAATCCATGTAAAGATTACGAGACCAACCCATGCATGTGGTTGAAAGTTTATTGGGAGAATCTGAAGCTCGATGATCAGGAAAATCTAATTGGTGGTTACTTTTGGGTTCCAAGATGGGAATTTCCCCGTTTCTGGGGCGGCAGCCGCTTATCGATGCTAAGGATACGAGAGCTTTGGGACCAGCAAGAAAAGCGGCACCAAAAGCATCTAGAAAGCAGTGGTCAAATCGCAAAGGGCCACCCTCTTGCTCCTTTCCCGCTGGATTGATCAAATGGGCTTCTGACTCTGCGATCAGCCTCTGAAACAGCAAGACTAGTAAGGAAATTTAGTATAGTATCATGAAAATCGTTCCGATATCATCGTACCTCAATGACTCTAGTATTGCTCTTGCAACTGAAACATGGGCTGGTATCGACGACTGCTAAAGTTTCAGTGGGGATGACCTTGCCTCAACAGGAACCAGTTTTTGAAGTAGAATTTAATCTTAAATGTGAAGCCCGGTATTGAATTCGGGCAGGTCATCTTTGTACAAAGGAAGTTTTCTTACTTTGCTGCCTCACGCTACTTCTTGAATCTAGAGTCACTTGGAAGCTTTCGTTGATATCAATTACCCATCCGAAAAGCAAGTTTATCATCAGCAGATGTGCGAGACTCTCACGAAGCTAAAGCAAAGTAAATCTGGGAAGATGGACCCTTGTTATTACAAGGGAAGAGTCAGTTAGTTTCCTGTATAATCCTCATGTGCACGATCCTCAGTGAAGTAATTGATCAATCTTGAACGTAGCTCTCAGGAGCCTGCATATTGCGCATCGTGTTCCAGTACTATTATGCACACGACGGATAGAGTGATGCCTGCCAAGTAATTTTCAACCAATCGGTGCCACCAGTGGCCCACATCCGTAGCATAGCCCCGTTAGACACGGGCTAGGACCTGCTAAGATATCGACACCTGAAATGACAACTACTGGAAGAAACTCTGTATGGTGCCAAATAGACGCAGCATTAGCTTGGACGTGTACTTTTCCAACAGTGATAATCGCCCTTTTGCAGAAAACGAAACTTAAGGCGGATCACAAAATTGTCCGAGTTCCACCAGAACAGTCCCTCGCCCACTAAGGGCCAAATTTAGGATTCGGACATTTAAGGGGGATTCATTTTGGCCGAATAAAAAGCAGAGATCTCAAGGTAGGCCACAAAACTGACAGCAACAAAGAATTGGGAGCTTAGCGATGGCGAATGAGTAGTATTTTTGTTCTGGGGAAACTAAGGAGGAGCAATTTGCATACAATATGTAGCGCGAGGAAACAAAACAAAGTACCAGCACTTACTAGAAGCATATGTACTAATATGTATCCGGAGCGAATGAACTCAAGCAAAACCAATTCAAGATAAAAACTGATTCATTCAGAGTTAGACATGCACTGATAGGCAAATTGAAACCACCCCTTTAGATGCATATGCTTGATTTTCAATACACGGGCTGTACCAATTTATCATGCGAAGCACAAAAAATGCGGGTTTCCTGTCTAACTAACCGATCATTAGTGGGAGTTGATTTATCCCAGCATACGGTGACCTCGGGGTAGGCGAGGTGTAGTTAATATAGTATTCATCTATCGCCTTGAGACCGTCACGGGAGTAAAACAGAGCATCAAAAGTGTCAAAATCTCAATCAATTTCTTGATTCCATGAGTCCCTTGAACGGCAGAAGAAGATTATGGAATATATCAAGGCTGTAAGCAATGAGGCAAATTATCAAGTTGCATAACCTAGCTGTCTAAACAAGTTTATACATCCCGTTAACGGCATCATTTCAGGAACGCCAAATTCTGAAGTACCAGACGTCTTTAAAGTAGAGGAATGAAAAGAACTTTAGTAAACACACTCCAGATCTGTATTATCTGAGCCATAGGGTGTCTAAAAGTGCCTTCGGGCACCGTGTCTATGATCCTTGAGATGATCGTTTTTTTGGGACTTGGAAGACGCAGTCTTGATGATAAAGTTTTGGCTTAGGCCGGAAGTACACTCAGTGCCGTCAGGCATTGGCTGTTTAGATGTCCAGATGCCTCCAGCACAGCGCTGCCAAAAAGTGCCTCCTATGCAGTTCCAGATCCCTTCTTCAAAACATGACCCTGCGAGCGTACTAGAGCTGGAGCTGGAGCTGGAGCTGGAGGCGGAAATAGAGCTATTGGAACTGTCGACAGTAGAATTGACCACGGAAATGGCGGAGGCCAGGGTTATTGGAGCGCTCTTGATAGAGCCCGCACATTTGGTGATGTAGTTCGCCACATTCGCGGAAAGTGACCCGCTGGCTGGAGACTCTGCAGTACTACCAGCCGTAGTGGAAGGTTTATCATCGGCAGTTATGGCGGAAAACTTGGTCGAACTGGAGACTTTAGCCGAAAGGACAGAGTCCCCAGTAGCACTATAGCCTTCCGTTCCCCAGGCAGCAGAACCGGTGAAGCAAACGTTGTCGTCAAGTCCAATAAGCCTTTCGTCAGGTCCAAGATACTCAATAGTATTGCCTGGATTGGGAAAACGAATATCGTACAGCTCCCTAGTCAAGCAACCATTGATGCTGGCAATGAATAGGGGAGGAAGGTCTTCTAGGGAGGTTTCCTCCATTTCAGCGGATCCAAATCCCTTCGAGGAAGAGCTACTCTCGGTGATGGTTATGGGGGCACAGTTCATGTACATCTCGTGATTACCAAGACGGTTAAACCAGGTTCAGGCAATTGTATATTCGCCCGCTTGAACACTGGCAGGGATGGTGTAGTTGAGTGAGAAAGGAGTGACCATCGTTGGACTGTTCCCCATGCTGACTTCACTCTCGGTCGCATCCATACACCCACCCTCAATTGACTTAATGACGCTCCATGTAGTATCTTTGCTAGGGGCACGGTCCGAAGTAATACTGATTTGACAAGAGCCACCACCGTGAGTAGTACCCCCGTGGAAGACCATGGACTGGCTCTCACCCTTTACCATATGGTTCTCCTCAATGACAGAATAATCGCTCGTGATCTTGC